AAGTTCCCTTATATTTTTTTTCAAACACTTTCAGTTTTCATTTTCTAAAATCTTCACGGTTCAATGTATTTATTGATTATTATTTCAAAATCAAGACACACTTCATAGTTACATATTAGAATGTATGTACGTATGTTATGCTTTGCTTTTAGACTATTCTGTTTGGTTTCCGAGAAAATAGAATAGAAAGTGAAGTATGAAGCGGGTTTTGTGTGACATGAAGGTTGTGTGTTGCTTTGGTCTCTAAAGATGGGAGGTGTTTTGTTTTTCCACAGGACTGTCATTTAATTTAAAATATCACTAAATTTTGATAGAACTGTGGTGGACTTTGTATTTCCTTCATGTTTACATGTGTTTTGTATATGGCTTTTACATCTGAATTTTGATATGAAACTAATCATGGCAGCAAGTGCTTTGTATTTGGAATGATATTTGTTTTACCTGTGAAACGTTTTCAGTTTTTTTTTTTTAGGTTGAAGCGGTTACAGTAAGTAGCACCTATAAAAAGCATTGTTCGACTCTCTGTTGCACATGATGAATTAAGTAGGATGATGAGTTGGGTTGTCAAATGAGTTTAAGGCTTTTGATAATGTTATTGAATGATGAAACCATACTGGAGGATATATGAGTTGGAGCCTAATTAAACTGGGATTGGGCAGTTTGATGCTCATGCGAATGTAGATCAAACAAGTAGTCATTGAGGATGGATGATGATGGTGACATTGACATTTTTTTTTCCAATTGGAACCACAAGAATCCAACTGATCGCCATTTTATTGTCTCTTGCCTTATCGCTGCTCTAATTGGAATTTTGACTATAGCCTACATGTGGATTGCCATAGTAGCATGTCCAATGAAACAGGTGATATTTGTGATTTAGGTCTATTCAGAAGGTTGGCTCTATCCCCTCTTCATGTCTGGTGGATTTTTGAGCTCCATTAATGAGATGGCATCTTCAGTATGTGCAACTAATAGGAGTCAGAGAAACAAGTCCAAGCATGGAAATGCAACCCCTATTGTTTAACAGTAGAGTCGCGCGGCTATGCGCTATAAATAGAAATTTTACAAGTATATCTGAAATTTAAAAACCTATTTTTGGAGAAATTATTTCATTTTTGGACGACACAACAAAAACATCAGTCTATCTGTTTCCTCATTTTCATGAACACACAATTCTCAAGAACTACATCTAACATATTCATATCTATCAAGTTTATTTGGGGAAAGAGAGGGTACAATTTAGTCTAAAAATTAAAACCCTTTCCATAATTTTAGTAAGAGATTAGGCTTCAAGCCACTCCACAAGTGAATCTGGGGGTTCATAATTTGAAGCAAGGTCAAGAAAACAAAAAACAACAACATCAACCTTCGGTCCCCAATCTGCCTAACAAGTAAAACGTAGAGCATATCAGCAAATAATCAGCATACTGTATTCTCATTTGGTCAAGCTGGTCTATTTCTACCACATCAAATCATATTCCTGAGGCTTCTGCAATATTATCAGCATACTATTGTGAGAACAAGAAGAAGCCCATGTAATAAGATATGCTTAATAATCCAAAACCATCATGAGGATTCTGAAAAGACCACGTATCTCTATCATATCTTCAGCAAAAAATTAAAAATAAATAGTCTGAGTAATGGCAGAAGGCATCTTCTGGTACTCTTTCTCCATATTAAATGAAATTATGATTTTAGTTTACTTTTAATGAAATAAATTACCTCGAAGATTCATAAACTAGTGGAGGGATCTAGTAGACAGTAGATTGTGAGATTATTCACATACATTTTTAGCCAACGAGATTATCAACATACTTTAAAGTGCAAAACAAGTAAGAAACAAGGTGAACAGTAGTAAGGAAAACCACAAGGAAAAAATAGTAACAAGCTCTGCGAGTTCATACTTGAACTGCATCAAGTGGTATTAGAGCGTCCCTTCTGCATTTGGATCCTTCCTTGAGTTTAAAGCAAAGAGCTCTCACAGCAGATGCTGCACGTGTCCTGGACAATGCAAAAATGATGCGCTTTGATGAGAAAAGTAGCAACTTCTATTGTACAGAAATTGGTCGAATTGCATGCCACTTTTATATTCAATGCTCAAGTGTTGAAACATACAATGAAATGTTGAGGCCCCACATGAATGAGACTGAGGTTATTGTTTTTGTGAACTATATTCTCTGTATTTTTACTCTATTTTCCTACCAGTTACACCCCAATCATTTCTTCTATCAAACTCTATTTTTAGTCTCTTATACATGTTGAACAGGTTGAACTTGCTCGCAAGTTTGAAGGACTAGAGCATTTTAAGAATGATGAACACCCATAGTTTTCGTTGATTCAGGCAGGAAAAAAAGATGAAGAAAGAATAATTTATTTCCTGGATCTTATTATTAGTATCACACCTTTTATTTATTTTAATACATGCACAAATAGAAATTATAACAGTATAGCCGGTCAGCTATACTCTCTAAATACAATATATAACAGTATAGCCGATCGGCTATACGCTTTAAATACAATATTTTAGCATTATAGCCGCAAGGCTCGACTCTATAAATAGAAATTATAAACGTACAGCCCCACAGCTATACTTTCTAATTACATTCGAATATTTTAAAGGTATAGCCGGGCGGCTGTACTCTTTAAATATATTCCAACGAGCACGAAGCTTGCACTCGTAGAGGACGGAACTTTCTCTCGCAGTCACTGCTTCGTCCTCTGGGTAAGGCACCGAAAAAAGACCCAACCCACCTTGGCGCCCGGCCGCCTAGCTACTACCTAGCCGCCTAGCGACCGCCTAGCCGCCTAGGGCCCGCCTAGCGACCGCCTAGCCGCCTAGGGCCCGCCAAGTCGCCTAGCGCCCGCCTAGCGACCGCCTAGCCGCCTAGCCGCCCGCCTAGGCCGACTTTTCGAACACTGCGATTGACTGAAAGTATTGCTAATGTATGAGCGAAAGCGGCAATCAAGAACAGATCCTGTACAGGGACATGAGTGCCATAATTCACTTTTTCTTGCTCCGATGATACTTCTTTAAGCAAACCACCAGACTTGCAAGTTCATTTGATTGATAAGCGTTCATCAGAACATTACAACAGAAATTCTGTGGTGAGATTTTAGAAAGTTGGAACCTGTTCACTTTTTTTAGTTTGTTTCATAGGGATATATGTTGTATGTCAATCATCTTTATGTAGATAATTTAATAATCCATCCTTCCCTATTTTTCCACTAATAATTTTGTTCTTGAAAAAATACTGAAAAGAAAAAGGTTTTAAGGGATTACCAGATACCACCAGAATGTGCCCTATTCAACCGACCCTTGAAAGCGTATCTAGTTGAGATGAACATTTAGATTTGGTTCTTTAATTTAGGTTTCTATGAAGATCTTCTCTTAGTTGTCTTAGACCTATAATTTATTTTTAAGGTCATTGCTTTATTCTGTCTCACTTGCCTCTTTTTCTTGCAGGTATGCCATGTATGTTTTGTGTGCTGTGTTGGGGGTAACCTGAAGCACTGTGGAAAATGCCTTCAGTCGT